TAAATAAAAGATGAGGAGATCTGTGTTGGTTTTCTTCATTCATTTAGTTATGGTTTCTGAGAACCTTTACATCAATTGCATGCTAGCTTTGCTCCGGTACTGATGAAGATGTTGATCCTGTCTGCATTCAGTAGCTTTTAATTTTCACAGTTCTCATCAGTAGTGAAGGGCTCAGACAGTCACCAATGAATGAGGGATGAGCAAAAGAGAAAAAGTAGAAGGAGTGATTTTTAGAAGATTTTACAAGTCAATATATTCTCAGTGACAACAGTCATAACAGAAGAAACTGATTCATTCTATGATGAAATTAGAGGTTTGATAAGAAAAAGTAATTGCACAAAATCATTTTCTTCAAGTCTTTTTGTAAGACTTCAAGCTAGAGAATATTCTGATAAGGAATTCATCACCATATTATATCCATAAAAGCTGTTAGTGGGCTGGGTTCCAACTGATGTGGTTGGAGTTTGGGCAGGAGCATTGTTTCATCACTGTCAGGTGGTGCAGTATGAATGCCTCATCGTGCTTTGTTTATGGGGCTTTAAGAGCTGACAGAGCACAGAAAGCAGTGTTTGCTGTGAAGAATCTATACAAATCAGGGGTTTGGTAGCAGCATTTGACAGGGACTGTCATCAAACCTGTCATGGTTCAATACTCAACAGTGATTGAGAAATATATAAAAAAAAACTTTGCTGATGCAGCACAGTAATGATACAGATTAGTCAAATATAACTAGTGACAAAAACAAGACAATCCTCAGAAAAGTGCAGTGAATATGATTTGGGACTGGAGGAGAGAGGGAGGATGAATGATTTAGCCAGTGAGAAGCTTAGGAGATTCTCTGAGTAGGTTAAACCAGCTTCAGAGGTATCTTAATTACAGTACCTAAGCACCTTCACAGGAAGACAGTATGGGATACTGAAAGACTTCTTATTTTAGCAGAGAAATGCAAACCAGGAAGCAGTGTCTGGAAGCTGAAACTAGAAAGAGTCAAAGTAGACATTAGATACAAATTTTAAAAGTGATTTTGAAGACCCAATAAAACACTGTACTAGAGGTATGAGTGCATCTTTCCTCACCTGATGTCTTTAATCTCGATATGAACATGGGCTTTGGAAGGCACACCTTGACCAAAACGTGGTCTGTCTTCAGTACAAAGTCAAGAGTGATAACTATAGGAGGGGAAAAATTATAGCTCAGATTTCAACATGGATTGCAAAAGGCTGGTAAGAAATCTGGGTATGTGCTTGAGTTTAGCAAGAAGTTCCTAGCAGTGCACCTACAGTGCTGCAGATTAAACTTTGTCCATGACTGCCTCATTGCAAACTTCCCTGCATTCTTCTGTGTAGGCACATGGAAGGACGTAAGGATGAAAAAGAAAAGGAATATCTGAGTTGAGGAGTAATTTTAAAATAAAAGAAGGGAGCTCAAACTTGAAGCTTTGTGCAGGGAATTGGAGTATTTTATTGAAGTTGGAAGAAATATTATTTTAACAGTATTATTTATAAGCACTATAAGGAGATATTATCAGAGACCAAAGAAAAGGCATTTGCAGTAGGCAAGGGAGAGAATGAGAGCTGTGGTGCTTAATCCAAGAGAAAGCAAATCTTTGAAATGTTGTGAAAAAGGTAATGGTAAAATCTTACTTCTAAAAAACCAAGCAGCATAGCATGCAAGTGACAAGCTCATTTTCCTTTCATCCAAAAAAAAAGAAAAGAAAAAAAAAGAGAGAGCTCCATTCTGCTCACACTTCCAAGCTTAAAACACTATAAATGGGCCAGTCAGGAGTAACTGAGACTGAAGCTTCATTTTATCACCCCAGTTTTTATTCAGCATCACTGCAGACATCATCTATGGTGTTTGAATTCCATAGACGTGACTGGAGTTTATTCTGATCTTAACTTTTGTTTGAATAATCATAATGATAGGAGGATTTTAAAAACAGGCTCTGAATCCCTGTTGAGGTTTTTAATACCCCCTATTCTGAGGTCACTGGATTTAGGGTATCTGCTTGGTTCTATCTCATACACTTCTACAGATATTCAAAAGCCTGTAGTAGCCCACACACAGGTTATATTAATTTCCAGGGCCTAAATCCCTTAAGTGCTTTGGGGATTTCCCTGCTAATCCTCTTTTTAATGCAGGGGTAGGTTTGAACTTTTGGGATTTATTCTTTGTGTTGGTTGTTTTTCAACCAAAGAATCTTTCAAGGGTAACAGCAGCAAGTGCTAAATGTGTAAAGACATAGAAAGTTTATTTGCTGTTTATATTATCACAGCAATCTGCCAGTCTTTTTTTTTTGGCACAAGAAGGAAAAGAAAATGTAACTATTATTAGTAATTGCAGTACTTATAGTAATTTTGAACACTTACTAATATTAAATTTATGCAAAAGTATTAAATCCTGACTGAACATCAAATCCTTTCCTTTCCAAGGGCAAAGTAACTGTATTAATATTAATGAAGCCATAAAATATAAGTTAACTGACAGCATTTTTGCAGTTGCTTACTGCAATTGTATTTTGTTGCTGAAAATTTATCATATTTTTCATGTCTGAAAGTAAAAAATGAAAAAAAACTATCACAAACTTCTCTTTGTTGTAAGTGACATGCCTTTTCTTTATGATGCATGCTTTGCCATAAAAAGGGAGTGCTTAATGCATTTCTGTTGGGAGATGCCTATTTATTCTGACAAACTGATCAGCCTTCGGGGTGTTTCTTTGCCACAGAACTGATTCTACATCTCATCCATTATCTAATAGGATGTGAAAAGACTGTCCTGTCTCACAAAAAAAAAAAAAAAAAAAAAGTCAGGCTTTGTTTCATTACAAGGATGTGGCAGGCCCACTCACAGACTTACTTGCAGGATATAAAATTGTTAGTGAAAGGCCCAGTTATACACTCATGAATGTTTCAAATGGGCCTATGTGGAAAACATTGGTAACGTTGGTACTGAAGATCATTATTTCAAAGGCAAGTATAAAATATGGCCTCTATAATGAGAAAATGCATTTCACATCTTAAATAGTACTGCAGGAGCTTATGAATTTTATTATTGTAATAAACACCAATGCCATATAAACTAGCCAGCCAGAATGTCTCTGCAAAAATATATGCCCTGGCTATTTTTCTTCTCTTTCTTCATTATTTCTTCCTCCACAATTTTAATGAAAGGTTTAAAATTGTGCTTGCATGGAAAATGAGAGATTGGAGTAAGGCAAGCAAGCTGAGGCATTGTGTGATAAGGCAGTGATAAAGCAAGTGTATGCAAAACACTATCAGACACATGTTGTCAGTCAGATGTGCTCTTAAGGAAATAAATTCACAAAGGAAAAAGAGAGTAGGATACACAGTAGGAAAGTCAATTAAACCCAGGCATAACCTTAAGTGTTAAGAGACAGACCTTTAAGACCCTGGGTATCCAGATGGAAATTCTCTATGTGTTTGAGCAGAGCTTAACAGATCCGAAATTTTGACCACTAATGCACTACAAATCATTGTTGTATTTACATGATGTTCTATTACAACAATGCAGCCTCTCTGCAACATACCCCACAAAAAAGTGCCTCCACTGTGAAACTGCTAACAAGCATAAGTGAATTAACAAATCAGTGTTGGTTGAAGTAAAATAAAGCATTTTAGATCATTGACAAAATAGAGGGAGAAGTGACACAAAAGCAAGCAAGTGATTAGGTTTGATATCTCTGGAAGTTAGAACACTCACTCCACTCCACTGCTCCAAATTTCCCTGCCTTTCTAAATAACAGGATCAAGCCTTTTGCCCTTGCGCTATTCTTCTTTTCATAAAGGTGGTTTCTTTAGCATGACAATAAAATATGATTTTCAATGCTTCTTGGAAAAGTGAAAATACAGCTTGAAAGATTTCAAAATGAAAATACAAAAGCTGGGATTACTGGCAGGCAAACATTCTAGTATCATGTCCTCCTGACAGCCTTTATTCATTATCTGTGAATGCAGATCTGTATCTAAAAATCAAGGCTGTTTTATAAGTCTTGCTTATAATGCCAGTCAGAATGGCTTACCTCTGAGAGAACTTTCAAAGTCTGGAGTTGCATAAAGACAGCATAGCTTTAAAACAGCGTAAGAGAGACCCATTCTACATTATTGACTTTTCCCCTTACCTGCGAGGACACAGAATTAATTGCAGCATTGATGGGTCAAAGATTTGACACGTGTCAAGTCAGATATCTCCATTTTAAAGTTTAAAAAAGGCATCAAACCTCATACATATGAACCACTTTAGGTGACAGAGGCAGACAGACTGATCTAGGGAGAATTATTTCACTTACCTGCAAAAGATATTACTTTCAATGAAGCCTTATGTAAAGAACAATGTTATTTTAGGAGGATAAAACCAGAACAACTGCTAAAAATGCAGTAAAGGTCTAGAGGTAGATTCCTAAACCATGTGTTAAGTATCCTATCATTGTGTTCTTTCTATGGATTTTTGTAAACCATCCTATAAAGGCCTATGGCAAAGATGTAATTTCCTAGAAAATGGTATTTCATATGGCCTTTTATAAAGTGGTCGTCCCCTAGCGAAGTCAGCCATAGTTTTCTATAGAGAAGGCATTTGATTCAGAACTATGAATAAACTATTTCCATTAGCAAACACTATACAGCAGAACAGCTTTTTTCAGCTATCACCCTTCTTCTGCAGATTTCACAGCAGGAAAAGCACACCCATAACTAACTAGTATGACTTTATGTCCCTATATGAACCATGTTGCAAAATCTCATTTTTTAATAATGGCATTGATGTTACTTCACTGACAAAATGTATAATAATAACATATAATATATAATAAATTGTTATGTTAATGATCAGAGTGTATAATAAGATGCACAATTAGGAGGATTATGGGAATTTAATGGGAAGAGAAGGGCAAGGGATCATCTATTGTATGATTCTTCATGATCGTAACCTGCTGTCTATGTCCCTAATGTGTTTTTATGACTGGCATGCTTTGGTTTGTTTCTCAGTCCGTGTTCTGCCGTGAATGTAAAGAAGAATTCCATGAAGGGGAGTGCAACTCTCTCCTCAGCCCACCAGGAGCCATGGCCCAGAAGGTATGGATCTCACAACTCCTGATCACTATCCCTGGCCCAGCCAGAGTGACATTTGTTAAATGGGTCCTAATTATAATCCTAAATAAAAGCAATTATGTTCATGCTGAATTACTCCAGCCATCAGAGTTCCCAAATTGGTTTTGCGGTGGATTTCAGTCTCTGTGATTGATAGAGTAGCTGAGTTCTGTCAGGAACACACAGGATTCTGCCATAAGTTGATAAAGAAAAGGCCTTCCCAGTGGGCTTCTAGGGTTGTCTCTATTCAATGTGAATACTTTTGAAAGGCTGTGTATAGTATTTTTGCCTTTCAGCTTATTTTCAGTGCACTGGTCAGGAAATCATGTGAGTTTGGGCCAAATAATAGGGCTTTTATAAAGCCTATGCAGAAAATACTATTGGTAATTTATGTTCTAGCTTGCAGAAATAAAAAATAGATTGTCTAGGCTGCAAGCTGTTAGATGATAATTATTCTAGGTTGCTCTATAATTTTGTAGCTATTGTAAGCTATAGACCAGGAAAGGAAATAGTTTCTCTCTCCTGGCATTGCTCTTTGTTTAAGATTCAAGTTTTCCTTGAAATAAATAAATTGTGTAAACCACAGTCTTTCCAACTTTAAAGAAAAAAGAGACAGAGAGAGAGAAAGAGCAGAAAACATCCCCCTAAGTATCTCACAGCATGATGCCCAGGCTGCACTCCTAGGAAGCAGAAAACTGGTATTCAGATAACTGGCAGGTTTGATGCTAAGAAACTCAAAACTCAAACCCTGAGGCTCTGCACTGTCCAATGTGGCAGATAAAGGTTTGTGGGCAGGTGTCAATGAGGGCTTGTATCCAACCAGCTCTCAGGGAGGTGAGCCAAGCTCCTGTGACTGCCTGCAGGCAGGCTCTGTCTGAGGCTGGCTTCTGGGGACTCACTGAATACAGACTGGCAGGGAGCTGAAATTCTACTGGAAGTGTTTGCCATGTGCTACCAGAGATGGTTCATATGCCATACTTTGCAGACCTTGCACTAGGTCATGACCTGTGTAGAGGTTCTTCTCTTTAACCTTTCTTAATGAAGCCCTTCTAATTTATAAAAGGAATTAGCACTAGTTGTGACAGAACAAAACAGCCTGTATCCTCCTAGTCAGTCAGAGTATCTCCTACCTCTGTTGACCTGGAACATGTGTATTGTATCAGACCCAAAATCCATCTACTTTCCCAGCCTCTAGTGATTTGTGATGCACATGTGGTATTTTATGTTTAGTAGCTATCAGCAACTTTTTTTTCCATGAATTTGTGCAACCCATTTTTTAAGCCATATGTATATATAATGATGAGATTTGCAGCTTAGCTGCCCTCTATGAAGAACGGTTTAATTTTATTTACAATAGCCTTAGAGCAGTTTTATGGTTCCCATTCACAATTATATTAAAAAAAAAGCAACTTCAACAGAGAGAGTGAGAGATGCTTAAAGCATCTAACAGCCTAGTAAAGCAGGAGACCAAGGCTCAATGCCTTACCTGAATTAAACTGAGCTATAATTTGAGTACATCTCAACATGAACAGAGAGCTCTATATTCCTTAAGTTACTTATGCTTAGAGTTTTGCCTAGAGTACTGAAAGTTGTCATGGCACGTTAGAAGTGGATTCAACAATGTGAAAACTAGAGTTCATGTAATTTTTATTTTCCAAGGCCGAGATAAAGGTATGCCAGGAAGAATCAGAATGCCATAGGAAGAAATAATTTATTTAAAATATTTGAATATTGCCGTTGCTTTTCCTTGTAACAATGGGAGCACTTCATGCATCTGATTCAATCTCACAGCACATAATTGCACCCGATTAGACCTGTTAACTTAGCCATGTTGGCTAAGTTAACTTAGCAATGTTGCAGTTCTAGTGTCACGTGAACGTTCTTGCTGTTCCTGAAAATTTTCCTGTACTCTGAAGGAATTGTTCCAGAATAGCTCAATGATAGTAGCAGTATAACTCCTGCACAGAGAAGACCACAGACTACGTAGGATTCGCTGAGACTCCAGTCTAAGCTGAAGTTAATTGATTTAGGTCCGCCTGCTCTTCCTCTAAGAAACTGAGAGCGGCACTAATTAAACGTCTCCACGAGGCGGTGCTGTGCTACTAAAGGAACGTTGTCCCTCATTTTCCTTAGCCGGGCGAGCAAACCCAGCGGTAGCAGAAGCTGCTGAGATGCTGGTTTCACCCGGGCAGCATCCCTGCAGAGCCCCCTGCACACACACAGGGCTCCCGTACGGGCACACAGACGATTCCGGGGGCGTGTAGGGAGAGCAGGGCTTGTGAGACAGTTTCCATCTCTCTCCCTGAAATCAGTGTAAACATTTATCCATCTGTGCTTTCAGGCTGTCTGTTCCACTTGGCATCTCCTGCCAGGTGCATAAGACAGTGCGTCAAGACCTAACTTGCTGTGGTTGTAGTGCTTGGTGAGGCAGTGAGAAGGCTTGTTTTATTTTTGCCCATGATCTGTTTCAAGGAATAATACACTGCCAGGGTTGTCTCCAGCTCATGCAATTTGATTCCTGTCTGAATCCTTTCCATATCATTTATTTTATCAAGACATCTTATTGACACAATTTCTGCCAGTCAAATTTAAGGATCAAACAAATGCACTACTACTAAACTGTTCCTCTCCAGAAGAGGCACAGGATGCACAATCAGTTTCAGGGAAATCGTTCCAATAAGAAAAATGCAGGGTTTGCTTTAGCCTGTAGTAGCTGCAGTAGCGAAAGGACCTTCTCTTACCTTCACATTTCTGCAAATGTCTGCAAGTCCCTGGTGTTCAGCAATATGAAACACTGTGGACAGGTTCCGGCCTAAGTCAGCGTGACAGAGGTGAACGTGGTGGAGCGTGAGGAGTGTGACAGAGGTGAAAGAAAAACCAAGAAGGAGAGTTGTTGTAGAGGAATTGGGTGACCAGTAGTGGATGGCACAGGAAGAGCTGTGCTGGCACTCCATGCAGCTCTCCTAAGGTGTGTCAAGGCACTGCATGGGCCGTCTACTTCCTGGGGACTTTCCATGTGTCAGGGCAGGGCCTGAGGACAGGGATGAGCCAAAATGCTGGAAGGTGGGTCCACAGGTGATCTGTGACTGGGCTGGACAGGGATGTGGGGAGCTGGAGACAGGCCCTGCTGCAGTCACCAGGCAGCGACATGGGTTCCTGAGCCATGAGCAGAATGCAGGGATTAGCAGGGGACTGGGGCAGCAAGGTCTGTCAGAGCCTGACACCAGTTTGGGAAAGCTTGGAGAAAGAGATCCCTCAGAAGCAGAGATAGAGCCTGATACAGAGGAATCTGAGTGTCCACGAAAGCCGAGCTGACTGGAGAGACTGTCAGATGAGTAGAAGCTTCAGAAAGAGGAAAAGAAAGAGACATGTGAAATGACATGGCACAGCTACGAAGGTCCAGGAAACATAAATGGTGGTGATTAAATGGGCCTGTGCTTGGGCAGATGTCAAAAGGAGGGAGGTGGAAGCCTGAGGTAAAGAGAGGGGAGTGTGGACTGTGAAGGAGGGCAGAGAAGGATGGAAGGAGCAAGGGGTAAGTTGGCAGGAGGAAGGAAGAGGGCAGCAACAACTGCAGGACAGAGGAGGGATAAAGCAGGAGCCACTTGTGGATCTCTGAAAGCCTATTCCAAATAAAGGATTTGGAAGCTTTAGGGAAGCTAAATGGCCTTACTTGCTGCTTGGGGTAGAAAAGGCAGACTCGGCAGCAAGCGTGCAGACAGCAGCCCAGCTTTAACTACTGGATATTGCATGGCCCATTGGGAAGGATAAAATGTTCTCTTTCTGCTGAAATGTCTACTTTTAGCCCAGACAGGCCATTGGAAGCTTATCTTAAACATTTACTTACTGGTGCAGGACTGATTATTTCCCATCTTAGTGTGTAAATTACATTATTTCAGGGAAAATAAATTTATCTATGGCAATATTAGTTGAGAAGCTTTGTTTTAAAACCATTGCAGCCTCCTGGAGCCATTTGAACTTTGGGATGACAGAAGAAATCATATTTGATGAATTAAAAGGCACAGTGTGCATGATGGAATCAATGACACAGTAAAGGTGACTCCAGACAGATTTAGGTTTAGAAATAACCACATAGTCCCTGCAATGTACACCAAAAACCAAGCTTCCTGGCCTCTTAACCTCACACATAGATAACCTGTGCTGGTGGGGAATCTAACCATAAACCAGCTTCCTCAGCAAGTCCCCACCTTAAAATTAGCCTAAATTTCAAAAAAACTTTTCTAAATGGTTTCCTTTTACAAGGATAAGCAATGCACCTTCTTGTTCACTAGCAACTGGACAATAAAATGTGGCCACATATTAGATTTGAACTTTTTCAGAGTAGCTCCCAGGATGGTTTTGGTGCTGGGTGTGTTGATGAGACACTGGCAAGGTAAAATTTAATAGCAGTGACACTGATGTAAAAGTGGAGCCTATATAAGTAAGTGAGTAGATATGGGGCACTGAGTCATAAGTGTTTGGTGGGGAAAAGGTAACACAACCTGGGTAAAATATGTTATTTAAAAGTATGTTTTAGAGTTGGTTCTGTGGACAAGCTTTCTCCAAGAAGCGGTTGATTATCTTGTCCAAACTCCTTAAAAATCCTGTCTGAATATACCTAGCCTTAATCCAAGCCTTAATTCCAGCTAGTCAGAGGAGTCTGCTCTAGCAAGTCTGTTGCCTTCAGGGGAGGCAACGTGCGACCTGGCTGCAAGGCGACAGCACGGCAGCCCGGCCTCGTCCAGGCTACTCGGGCTAACGACAACACGCTAACACCAATGTGGTGGACGGTCAAAAGCATTTATTATCTTATCTCATGGGTTTAAATAGTCTTGGGGGACTTTGCTACGTCAGAGGGGGGTTGTAGGGTCCTTAGGGTTAGTCGGGAGTGGAAAACTACTGGGTTAGGTGTGGTTACATGTTCTGGGGTTAATAGATAACGTGAAGCAGGGAGAAAGGGGGAAGGGTCTTTCTTTCCATCACAT